TTGATCATCCCTTGCACGCGCCGCACCTGAACAACAGGACAATGAACAGCCTTAGAAGGCAGAGCAGCAGATATGGTGGTCGTTATGCAACACAGCACCGCCAAACAGCAGCAGGCAGCAGCAGCAACAGCAGCAGGCAGCAGCAGCAACAGCAGCAGGCAGCAGCAGCAACAGCAGGCAGTCAGTATGCTGGGGCTGGCTGCGCCTGGCATGCAGGCAAGCTGTACCTGGTAGCGCCAGGCAATGGTGGGAGCCATCTGCAGCTGAGCAGAGATCTTGTCCTTGACGGTGCGGTTGCTGCGCTCCACGCAGCCCTGGCTTTGCGGCTTGCCGATGGCCCCATTGATGGCAGTCACGCCAAACGCTTGGCACAGCTCCAGGATGATGCCGGCGACAAACTCCTTGCCATTGTCAGACTGCAGCCTGGCTGGCGCCTGGGTGTCCATCCAGATTTTAAAGAGCTGCAGGTGAATGGACAGGACAAACAGTGAGGATTCCGATGGTCACAGCCAGCATGGCAGCACGTGGCAGCAAGGAAGGCAAAGGGGCACTGCTGCAATGCACCACGGGCAGGGCAGCGATTAGCTACCCTCATTTCCTGCCCTTGCCTCCCACGCTTTCCTGATACTGCAACAATCCAGCAGCAGATTGCCAGGCGCTCACCTGGCGGGCAACCCCATGCGGCCTTTTGGAGGCCAGCGCACGGAGCCACACGTGGCGGGTGAAGAGGTCCACATAGCTCATGATGTAGCGGTACTTGGGGTCGCGGCCCTCGCCCAGGTCGATAAGGTCCACCTTCTCACAGGGATGTGGATGGGGAGAGGGGCGGCATGGTAACGGGGGGAATCTCGCATGGAACTCGGCATGGCGGGCAGGTTTGCTGTGGGTCGGTGAGCAGCAGCCCTAAGTAAAAGCAAAATGGCTGCTCCAGCTGAGCCACACAATTGCTGTCACCAGCATGCGCACCTGGCACTGCTGGAACGCACGGTCCACCACGATGGGGTGCGGGGCAGGCTGCTCGGCAGGCTTCAGTGGTGCTTGGTCGGCACGCACGGGGCAGCCCAAGATGAAGATGCTGATCACGGCACGGTCAAACCCCTCCAGGCCGTAGAGGAAGGGCACCTTGCCGTCAGCACCAGCTGCCAGCTCGGTGGGTGCGTTGTAGGCCAGCTGCAGGAAAGGCAGCAGAGCAGCAAAGGAGGACCAGGGGAGTGCGCGGCGTGAGGGAGGGAAGGAGGATAGATGGAGAGGAGGGCAGCGCCACCTTGGCCGTGCCGCACCCCCCGTGCTTGCTGCGATGCATCCGGTTGCCTGCCTGATGCAGAGCACTCTCCAGTTGGTCTGGCGGCATCATTGCACCCCTTGTATCACTCACATGTGTGTACAGCTTCTCCACACCGCTGAAGCCAGTCGCCCGCTCGTGGTGCTCCTTGATCACTCGGGGCAGCTCCTCGAGCGGCACCACGGGGCACCACCGCCACTCTCCGCTGCGCTTGACGCAGCGGCACAGGATGTCCTGACCGCCAGCGCCCTTCAGCACCTGGAAGAACTGCAGCACCTTCTTGCTGTAGTTCTTGGCGCCGCCCTGCACTGCCGCCCCCCCTCTCGCACCCCGCCGCCGCCGGCCTGAGGGCGCCTGCTGGTCGCCCTGCTTGATCCGGATGATGCCCTCTACATCTGACTTAGTGAGAAACACATTCTTGGCGCCGTTTTGGCGCCGTTCTAAGGCATAAAGGATGACAGGTTGGTTCATAATTTTAAATTTGCGGCAGCTGCGGGGTGCGGGAGGGGAGAAATAGAAGCCTTAGAGACTCTGAAAGGCGAAGGAAAGGGAGGGATCGCGGGAGAGAGCGTGCCTGATGAGCCAGACGAATCGGGGGAGGTGCCACATCAGCGGGCAACACATGCCACATCTCATCCTCCTGATTGGGCCCGCACCTCGTTGCAAGTTGAAGCCTTCACTGTGGCGGTCTTGCACTCCAGCTCCGTAAGCAACTGATGGAATTTGAGCATAAGGCCATCATCGGGGAGAGCAGTTGGTCTGGCGACAACCAGAGGAGCCGCCGCGGCCTCGCCCTCGCTGTCGCCAGCCTCCACCGCCGCCTCCGCTGCCATCTCCGCCTCTGCCGCAGCTGCCTCTGCCGCCTCCCGGCACTCCTCCTCCCGCATGCTGTCCACCGTCAGGCCCCACCGCGTCAGGCCGCCAGATATCCTACACGTGAAGCCAGGCGCGGCACAAGAGTTGGAACAACCCACAAGTAACCATGGCAGGTCAGCGGCACAGCACCAGAACTGCGACACAGCAGCCCAGCACCACCCCACACAGCAGCACCGCACATTGCAGCGCAGCAGCGACATGCCAGCTGCCTGCTGCACTGCTTGAGTTGCCTCATGGACTTTGCTGTGCTCGAATGCTGCCGCAAAGCCTGCAGGCGGTTTTCCGCTGGGCGGCGTGAACGCCGCCTCCCAGGTGCCGACATGGTGAATGCCAGGAATGTACTTTGCAGCGGCCTTGGCCTCTAAGTAGGGATTCAAGTCCCCAAAAAGCTGCCGGTGCAACTCCTCGCTCTCCTCCACTAGTTTTGAGTTTCGCTGATCGGTAATCTCCTCGCCCCGCCCCCATGCGCGCCCCTTAGCCGCTGATATTAGCACACAGCAGTTTCTGCTCTGTGCAGCGGAGGTCCTGGCCACAGCTGCGCTTGGGCGGCGGCGCCCATTGGCGGGCAGCATGTGGGACACAAAGCCGGTCGCCTGGAGGGCGGAAAGAGACACTGACATCATGCTATACTATCAGCAATAGCGCGGGGATGCAATGGCGGGGAGTATTGAGGGGGCGCAAACTTGGGTGGTGCTGTGCTGGCCCAGGCTGGCCACCGCTGAAGGGAGGACCAATTATGCAGAGGCTGCACTAAACTCAGCACTTCACTCTGGAATCTTTCCAGCTTGTCGAACTGGGTCTGGTGGTGAGCAAACCAGGAACATGAGATGGATGCCACCCGGAGCTACTCCCCCTCCACCCCCTCACGGATCCGTGCGCTGGCGTCCCCGACATCGCCTGACTGGGTTGACTCCCGCGCCTACCGGCATCGGCAGCTGCGCCCCTTCACTTGGACGCCTAAACATGATTGATACAGGTCACACTGTTTCCTTATGTCAGTCGGTGCACCTTGGGGGTAGGAGGCAGCCGCCACCACCGCCACATGTGCGCTGGCCAGCTTTGGGATGTTATCGCAGCTCACAGCCGTCCACCCCACTTTCAAGGTGTCGTTCGATCGCCTGACGACCGGCTCTGAGCAGGCAGGGGCGCAAGAAGACTTCTGACATAAACTGTGAGTAGGGTAGGGCTTGCTGGCAGCCTGACGAGGCAGGGCGGTCCCATTTTGCGCCCATTGCACTGCACTTGACATCGACCACGCGTTGGCGGTGTTTGTTCGGTGCCGCGTGCGGGCCATGCCCGCCAGTTCCCCGTCCACCGCCTGCCTCAGGAGCGCCCCCTCCGCCGGTGAACGATTATCCTGCTGCAGGGACGCCATGCCCGGAGCCAGGCACGCGGGGCTGCTGGTGGCAGCAGCCTCCCTCCTGGCGGTGCTGGCGGCCGCCCCCGTCGCCGCGTCCGACTTGGATGTCGAGGCCGCCATCGTTGGTGGCTACAAGGCGCCCAAGGACCGCTACAAGTAAGGTCTCCCTGCCGCCTGACTGCCTCCCAGCGCCCCCCACCCTGCCATGGACCTGTCTGCATGCACATGCCGCGATGCCCTTCTCCTGCTCACTTCACTTTCCTGCGGCTCCATGCAGGTGGTATGCCACCTCGATTGTGAGGCAATACAAGGTGCAGGAAGGGTTCATTGAAGACGAGTACATTGCCCTCAACAAGTCCATGCTCAACTGTGGCCTCACTCTCATCCACCCGCAAGTCCTGCTCTCGGCAGGTCGGCTGGCGTGCCTGCTGTCCTGCTTTCCTGCCGCTGGAGGCGTGCACTCTGGTGTCACCAAGGGCAGGCTTGCAGCACAGGCTGTAACAGCAGCAGCGGTGGTGGGCGCCCGCCTCCCAGCCGCTGGCCAGCAAGAGTTGCTGCCTTGCACTTCCACCAATACTGAGGGGTGCCGTGACCTTCCTCATGCTCTGGCGCTGACCCTTTCCCGCCTTCCACTCGTTTCCTGCAGCCCACTGCCTGCTTTCGGAGGGAAGGTGGCTGGATGAGTGGAACCCAGAGCTCATCAGTCACACCTTCCCCAAGGCGAGCAGGGCGGTGTGCGAGGCACTGCTGCCGTGCGTCAGCGAGCAGCGCCGCCCAACAGGCCCGCCCGTGCTGCCACCCGCCGCCCGCTGCCCCTGCCCCTTGCTGCCACCCTGAGCGCCCTGGCCTTCCGGCTGCCCACCAGCCCGCCCGCCGTATGCCGCCGCCGCTGCTCCCATCCCATGTCCCCCAGCAGGTACGCATCAACGCCTACCGCATTTCGTTGGAGGACAAGGGCACCGCCACCCGCAACGTCGTCGCCACCATCGTGCACCGCAAGTATGATGAGTACAACGGTCTGATGAACGACCTGTCCCTCATGCTCCTCGACCGCCCCGTGCGCGGCCCCGTCATGAAGCTGCCCCGCCGTGAGCCTCAGCTGCCTGCAGCATGGCCACTGAGAGCATGGCCCCTGCCAGCTGCCGCTCGCAGCAGCGCTGCTGTCAGACAGCGGCGTGCCGGCGCCGTCCCCTGTCAGTGCCTGCTTCGATGTGGCGGCTGCCGCCCATCTCCCTGCTTGGAGGCCTCCCTGCGCTCTCTGCCACAAGCTCGTCAGCTCAATCCCGCCACACCATGCTCGCCGCACAGTCGCCACCGCCGCTGCCACCTGCCTGCAGAGCTGGCCACTGGCGCCCCCAAGGAGGCTGCCGGGGGCACAGACCTGCGCCTGATTGGGTTTGGCGTGACCGGGTTTAAGCCGTTCCTGAACTACCACGATCCGTTTGGTGATGGCGAGCAGCCGGTGCTTGGCTTCAAAAACGTCTTCGCTTCAGTGCTCCAGGAGGTGAGCGGAGGTTTTGGAGGTGTGCTGTCTTGGGTGGGTGAGCATGTGCTTCCGCCAGCTGGGAGGCCTGCCTGCCAAGGTGTTGGCGCCCCCAACGGCACCGCAATCAACAATGCGGGACCGCCTCTACAACTAGCCAGCTGCCCGCTCGAGGTACAACACTGCCTCGCGTTATGACCCAGCAATCCTCACAGCCACCCGCGTGCTCCGTGCTCCTGCCACTGCTGCGCAGGTGCCGCTGCGCCTCAATCCACCGAAAGTGTGCTGGGCCAAGTACAGCGATAAGGCGCCTCCCTACTGGGGCCCCAAGAACGACACCTTCATCACCAACATCTGTGCAGGTGAATGGACTGTCACAACTGCCGGACGGTGCCGAATGAGGCATCTGTGGCAGTGCCGTGCTGACAGGCGCCGCCATGTGGGACCGCCGCTGCAGGCGTGCCCTGGCGCAAGACCACCAGCTGCTACGGCGACTCGGGCGGTCCTCTCTTCATCAAGGGCAAGACTGCCCGTGACGATGTGCAGGTGTGCAGGGGTGGGTTGGACTGGCCGAGAGCAGGCAGAGTGGCGGCGCTCCGGGCACCTAAGCCGCTGTTGGTGCATGCCTTTGCAGGTTGGCATCGTGTCATACGCCAGAGAGTGTGGCACCACGACCCCAAGTGCGTTGCATGCTGTACCGTGCTGTGCTGTGGCCAGGGCGTGTTGCGCCAGTGCTTTGCTGCGTCAATGCCGCTCACCAAGCTGCTGCTGCCTGCCTGCCCTGGCCGTCTCCCGAGTGCAGGCGTGTTTGTCAACGTGGCTCATTATCGCAACTGGATCAACACCGGCGTCAAGGTGAGCTGTATGTATGTAGCAGGGCGGCAGGTGGCACTGCTAGCTGCGGCAACTGGCCAGTGCAACAGCGGGCACCTGCCCAGCTGGGATGCCGCGAGGAGAAGATGGTGTGGCACGCAGCCCTGGCCCGCCCTGCTGCTCCAGCTCAACCGCCCCTGCCTTGCTGCATGGCTGGCAGATCCTGCTGGGCCAGGCGCCCAAGAACCCCAAGCTCTACCGCCTGCGGCGCAAGAAGTAGTGATGCGCCGCTCCTCATGTCAGCGCAGAGGGAGACAAGCGGTCGCCCTTTTTCACAGTACTATCAGAACTTTATCAGTACTTAATCAGAAAATTCTCATCAATACTTAGTACTCTCTCACAATACTTTCTCACTTTCTTGCCAGTAGCAGTTCTCTCTGGTGCAGCTGCGGCTGGTGCCTGTCTGCGCGACCTCTTGACGTGCCTGGCCGGCTGTGGTGATATCGCAGAAAGCCCTGGTTTGGGGTTAGCGACAATATTGTGCAAGCTTAAACGTCAGCAGTGCACAGGGCTTCCAGCAAGCAGGACAGGTGGCAGGAGGCAACAATGTAATTCAAAGCTGCACACGCGCATGTCATGCTGCTAATGTTGGGTCTGGCTCTGCGAGCGCCAAGCACAGCAGCCGCCGTCGACCTGCATGCAGGGGAGAGGGGCGAGCGCTCAGACTTGGGTGATGGAAGCAGGCTCGCCGTCGCCAGGCCTTGGCCTGACATCCACCTCCTGCCCCACACCAGCAATGCCGGACCAAGCCTGCCCATCCCAAGCACGGTCGTCAGCAGCAGCAGCCACTGGCGCCTCACCCAAGCCCTCCTCCTCTGGCGCCAGCTCCTCGCCCAGCTGGCTGAAGCCGCAGGCGCGGTACAGAGCCAGCGCAGGCTGCGGCAGGCAGCCCGCACGGCAGCAGCACACATGTGAGCAGCGCGCGCGTGGCGCCGGGGCAGCGCTCGCCCGCCAGGAGCCCACGCGCCCCGGTCACAGTGCCGCCAACACCACCACCTGCACACATCCCAATACACGCAGCTTCCACCCAGCTCACCTCATTGCCCACCTCCACGTGGCAGTACACCTTGCCCGCCCGCCACCGCTCCCTCGCCAGCTCCGCCGCCGCGCCCACCAGCCCGCGCCCCAGCCCGCGCCCGCGCTGCGCCTCCGCCACCACCACGTTGCTGACGTAGGCCGCGGGCGCGGCGCCGCGCGGCACGCCCTCCGGCCACCTCAGGCCCCCGTATGCGTCGATGAAGGCAGCCACCGCGCCGTCCAGCAGCCGCACATCAAGTGTGCCCAGGCAGCCGCCCGCACCGCGCGCGGCAGGCGCCTCAGCCGGCGCCGCCGCAGCGGCCGCGGGGCTACCGCGGGTGGCCACCAGCGTGACGCACAGCGGCTGGGCGCCCTTGGTGCGGCGCAGCAGCGCGTACAGCTCCTGCCCCGCAAACTGCTTGATGAAGGAGGCCTTGAAGCGGCCCACGCTGCGCTTCTGCGGACGGAGGCAGGCGTGGGCAGCAGGGGCGGGGCCGGCGCATGGGATGGGTGCAAGCATGGGCAGCGACGGCGGGGAGTTGGCATGGGTTGCGGTGCGGGCAAGGGCAGCGTGGCGAGCTGATGCAGCGGCAGCAGCTGCTGTGTGGCAGCCGCGGTGGCACGTGAGCGGCAGCATCGCAGGGCAGGCACCTCGTAGTATGCCTCCGCCCGCAGCCAGGCCGCTCGCTCCAGGTCCTCACGGAACTGCCAGGGACGGATGTCAAAGGCGGGCGGCGGGGCCGCAGGGCTGGGGGCTGGCTCCGCCGCTGCCTCTGCTGCCTCTGCGCGCGTGCGGGGCCGGGCAGGCTGGGCTGGCGAGGCTCCTCCAGAAGCTAGTCTGTAAGGTGAAATCAGGTGAACAGCGAGTGAGGGTGAGCTGCAGCGGGGAACGGCCGAAGTAGCGGCGGCAGGCGGCGAGGTGTCGGGAGCAACTTGCGAGAGCAGGGCCGCCCACCTGAAGGCATGGGGCTCGCTGCACGCTGCAAGGGCGGACCGTTGGGCGCTGCAGAGCCGCCTGGGGTGCACGGCTGCTGGCACAAGCGGCGCAGCACAGGCTGCTGTCATGACATGAATCTGCGCAGTTGTGCACGTGAATGCAGCACCTCGCAATCCGGAACGCGCAACCTAATGTGGAAAATATGCTGCGTGCTGCGATGCGCAAACTCGGCGGGTTGCAGAGGGCCCAGCTCATTTGATCGTCGCCCGCATTCATCCGGCACCATCCCTGGTGCCTCAGCCACGCCGGCTGCGCTCCCCTGCTTTTTAGCGCAGGTGCCGCCAGCTTTCCGCCTCTGCTCTCCCTCAGAGCTGTCATTTGACGTGTGTGGACTCAGTCGAGGTCTCGTGGAGCAATCCGCGGCGGTCGCTCCCTCCCGCCGCCCTCCCGCCGCCGCCGCCCTCCCGCCCTGCTCCGCGCCATGGCGTTCCTCTACAGCCAGCTGGCCATGGCGGCGGCCACCACGCTGGCCAAGAAGACCTTCGAGTTTTCCATCACCTCCTCCCTCAAGGGTCTGTCAGACGTGATCAAGGAGCGCTTCTCCACCTCCAAGGCACTGCAGGAGACGCAGGCGAGCGGGGCTGCCTGGCTGTGTGGCGGAATGCGCTGGGCATGGCTGCGAGGATGAAATGTGTGGCTGGCAATTTGCACCCATTCAGACCCCGCCTTCGCCACCTGCGGGCCTGCCCCACTGCGCTCCTGGAAAGGCCGCCTGCCTCAGGCGCTGCCCTGCTGCTGACACCCTTTCCTGCCTGCCCGCCTACCCGCACACGCCCGCCTGCCCCACTCCCCTGTCCGC